GTCCCGAGACCTCCGCGAGCTTCAGCTTCTGCTGAAGGCGCGCGCAAGCAAGTCACACCTGTGCGAGCGCCTGGCCCACCTGGCGTCGCAAAACTGGGTATTTTTTCCGACGTCTTTCATTCTCTGGAGCCTTTGAACCAACAGGTGCTGGGAGCGGCCCCCAAAAAGCCTGGGGGTACTAGTTCCGGGTGCGACATCGCTCCGGGTACACTCTTGCGAATTCGATCGCGCCGGGAAAACTCAACAACGACGTGCGCGCAATCTTCACGGGTGGCCGCTCCTTGAAGATAACGACGACAACTCGGTCAAACTGCTAGCCAACCGCCTTCGAAATTTTGACGGCGACCGAAACTCGATGGACTGACCGCGCGGTCTATCTCCACAGCGAACTCACAACAATGAACAAAGCGAACAACGCCAAAACCGTAAACGAAGAAACTGAATTACTATGGACGCATAAAACTTAACTTTGCTGCAGCCGCTGCGCAACCGATGGCAGCGCTGGGCGGCCCCGAAGGGTTGAACGGCGCCCGCCATCAGAAATCGACAACGTGATCTTGGATCCGCGGGTCACCCCAGTCCAGCAGCGACTGCCGGGGCCGATGGCGCGGCCCCGCGCCGACGAGCCGCAGTCGTCGCAGCCTGCGCCGAGAAAGAGAAGGTCGGTAGGCGGTTGCCGTGGCCATCCCTCCTCGCCAGAGCCTGCGCGCACTCAGGGTTCTCTTCCGCGGCGGGATCGTCTCGGTGTCCGATCGGGTCTTGCGAGGCCGAGACGCCAACTCAGCTGGAGCAGCGACTGGCAGCGCGCGAACAAAACGAGCAGCAAGGTGAGAGGAAGGCGAGATCGCAGATAGATGCGGATATTCTCCGGTAGGGATGTCCGTGAGATGTAGTCGAGAGCCGAGAGAGTCGAGAGTATCCATGCTGCGCGCACAGGGCCGATGTTTGCACCGCTTGTGCTTGCTGCGAGAACCCGGGGCGCCGCCGACCTTGGCGGGGCAAACTGCGAATTTCGTTTTTTTGTTTCCCCCCCCCCGCGCCCCCCTGCGACCTTTCGCCCAGAGAGCCGCGGCAGAGCACTCCCGCTTCGCGCGCGGCCAGAAGAGGGCAGGGATAGTGGACTTGATGGTGTCATGGACGGGAGAGAACTTAGATCCGAGGAGACCGATCACGTGAGCGGAATCAAAACGCCCCTCAATCGTCGCAGCACGCGGCGCAATCGCAGGGCGAATGCCACTCGCCTGATCGAGCGGCCAGAGACGCAGTTCGATGCCGCCAGCCAGATCGGTCGCGCTGCGCATCCGTCGCATTGCGCCAATATGCCACGGGTCGGCGATGTCCAGGACCGCGGCGCCGCATGCCTGGAAGCACGGGGTGGCCTGTTCGGCTCGGGGGGCGGAGTGGCGCGCCACGCGCGCGCGGGGGCGGGCGCGGCGGCGGGGGGGCGGGGCGGGGGGGGCTGGGAAGCTGCAAGCGCCCAACCGCGCTGTGTGGCTCGACCCTATCGTGCTTTAGTGAACCCGTCAGAGAAATGCTTGAAATCGCCGCGGGCGCCGCGGCCTTGGGCGTCTACGCCCAGAGCCTCGTCGCGCCGTTTTTCCCGTGGAACGGTACCTGTGGGCCCATTTCAGGGGCTTCGCCGGACAAGAGGAAGGCGCAGCAGGATGGCGCGCGAAGTGGGCCTCGGGGTTGCGAAAGCTTTTAAAAGCAGCGGCAGGTGAGTTCGCGGGCTGGGCATGCTTGCGCGCGCGAGCGCGCGGTCTCTCTGACGCGGCTCTACAGCGCACTTGCGCAACAAAGAAAACAAATGCACTGGCCGCCCCCCCCCCCCCCCGCGCGCCTCCATCCGGCGGCCCGCGCCGTGGGCGGGCCAACAGACCGAGACGAGTGCTCTGAACTGCCCGCCTAAGCGTTTGCATCAAAGAAGCACCTCGTGACATCTAGGTGCCTGGTCGGCCAGGCTCTGCATGTCAAGTGTTTCTCGAAAGAAAAAGGCGAGCGAATCCGCTGGCCCCAAGTGACTGCGCGGGGGCCAGATGGGGCCGGGGATGGGAGAGTGGAAAGAGACAGCCCACGCGGCTGCAGTCGCGGTGCGCGACGATCGCGGGTCTCTGCGCGCGCGCCCGCACAGGAAGTCCACAGTGAACGGCGTGGCCACATGCGCCAGCAGCGGCATCTCGATGCACGTCGATGCACTCCTGTATACACAAAACCGTCCACCCGAATGCTTCTTCGAGCGGGTCGAAACACTTAGCGGCTCCACGATTCGGAACGCCCTGCGCACTCCCAATCACAATCACGAAGTCCGTTCTGGAATCAGATCTCCCAGTGGCCTCTCTTGAGGCTTGCACTCGAGCGGGTCAGCAGGCCCAGGGCAGGGCATTGATATCAGGGATGCGCTCTTCCAGCGCGAGATTGAATTTCGTGGCGGCGAGGACCTGCTGAGCGCTGGGGCCACGCGCAGGTTCTACGTCAGGAAAGCGCACGCACATATACATACATATATATACACATATATTTATATGTGTAGCCTGACAGGGGCCTCGCACCCGGACTTCGGGATATTCTTGCGGAGCAGAACCACGCTGCCCATGTCCTTCGAGGTGTCTCTGCCTTCTCGGGCTGGTCTGGAGTGAGCGATGGGCCGAACTCCCCCAAAACGCCGATCACAACACCACGAGCGAACTTGGTCCTGGCCAAGCACGCGGTATCATCGGGGTGCTTGTCAACTGTATGCCACAAGTCAGGGGTAGTGTGGGCTCCCGAATCATGGGGTGGGCAATCTCTGGATGCGAGGCGACTGGGTATCTTGCAGCCCTTCATGTCCTCCAGGAAGTTCCACATGTGCCACATGTGGCTGCTGGTGGAAAGCTCCATCTTGCAGGGCTCGGAGTAGCCACCAACTGCGTAGACCTTGGATATCTTCAGGTTCTGAACGGGATAGCCGAGAACTTCGAGATTGACGGTGCGATATGCCTGCACTTCCGCGCCTTCTGCATATGCGAAGCCTCCAACACTAATTGCCTTACTTTTGGTGACAGGGAGGCTGGCGGCAGTACGAGGAGACTCAGAGACGGTGGAAACACCTCCGACCGAAAACGCACCTCTTGCAGAGATTGTGTCCGCAGCTGGTCGCCCTTGTTCGAGCACGGAGACGGTGCCCGCGAAATGGTCGGCCTTCAGAGAAACCTGATCGACCTCGGCACCGAAGGGGCCAACGTGACTCCTCAGGGACCGTTTCATGTTGAAGGTCATGGCGTCCATGAGGCGCTGCTCTCCTCCAGACAACTGCGGGGGTCTCGGTCGCGTAGCATTGGGTTCGCCTTGGCCCGCGTCCATATCTTCGCCGTCTGTCAGAACGAATGAAGGTACTGGCGGGTGGCCAATCGCACTGGCCACACCTGCGGCACTCGCGGCTGCCATCGGATACAAACTGGCGCGGAAGGATAACAGGTGATGTGAGAGTGACAGTCTGAAAGAAGGGGCACAAAAAAAACTGACTGCTGTGTGCACGCACTCTTGTTGTGTGTGTGTGTGTGTCTCTCGCTCTCTCTCTTCCCGGTGGACAGTGTACCAGATCGATGCCTTGAACCAACATTCGGGTGGGGAAGAGAGGAGGGATGGGGTTGTGCAGACTTGGGCTGCCCATGCCGCCAAGGAGGCAGCAGAGGGGGCCGGGAAGATGAGGATGGGGGAGGAGGATGAAAAGGAGGCGGAGGACGAAGAAAAGGCGGCGTCTGCTCGTGGAGGGGCAACCGCTGCCGTTGCCCGCTTCTCTCCTGCTCCTCCCCTCCTCCTGAAAGCCCTGGGTTCATGAGCGGGGATTTGTGTTTGGACGGAAGCCTCCTGGACAATCTGGACTAGGCCATCGTGGCGCTTCAGGACGGTCGGCCTGTGTCGGCCGCTGTGTTCGCGGAAGTCTCCCGCCAGGTCTGTACGACATTGATACCTTCAAGCTCTGGGCCTTCCTCAGAAAGTTGCGTCTGCCTCAGAGAGTTGCGTCTGCCCTGCCCTGTGCCTCTGCTTGGGCAGACTCCAGGTTTGTTCATGATGGTGTACAGAAGCGTGGCACAGTGTGTTGCGTGTCAGCCAAGGCGGCGTGGGCCGACATGTGGCAAATGGTGTTGGCCGCCATTGATGATCGTGGGGGGGTCGAGGCTCTCCGTCTAATTATGTAGTTTAAAGCCCGCGCCACTGTTGCGGACCTTGAGCGGGTGCGGATGATTGAAAGGCAGCGCGAAGGTAGCATGCTTGCTGATACGTCGGCCCTTGAGGCCGCCAATCTCGCTGAGGCCCCGCTGCGCTATCGCAACAATTTCCGCTCCCAGGCCAAGATTCGCTCGTTTCTCACTTCCTGGGTCGGCCGCGTCGGTTGTAAGATGGCCGACTAGACTGTTTGCATGTTTCGGGGCAGCAGGCTAAAAAAGAGCCTAAGCCCGAGCGCGTCGTGGAGCCATCGCCCGTCGCTGTTGCTCGTGTGCTCTCCTCGTGCTGATGTGGTTCTCGCCATTCCCCGTTGAGACGGGGACGTGACGCACCAAGCGTTTCCTATCATCCTCCCCACAGCCGCCCAAGGTGTCGTTTACGTCGTCTGTGGGGCTGGGGGCTCACAACTTCGCTCCGCTTCAGTCCCGCAGCCCCCGTCAGTCACTCGCACAGGTGCCTGCAGTCGCCGTCCCTCCGTCTGGGGGTCTCGTGCGCTCAGGGCACTCGCGCAAGGCAGGTACCTCCAAGGGGAGTCTTGGGCCCCGCTGGCAGAGCCGTGGAGACCGCAGTTGGTCGACAGTGGTCAGGCTCTGCGTCCTCTGTGAGTCGGGAAGGGGTCCCCGTCGCTGGCCCTCCCCTGGGCGGATCGCAGTCCAGGTGAGGTGACAGACTGGTCCTCCCTTCAAGGCTTTTGCAGGACTGAGGGGCCACTCTCTCTCTCTCTCTCTCTCTTTTTCTTTTTTTTCTCCCTTGGTGAGCGCACAGGAAGAGAGAGGGGAGACGGGGGGGCGGGCCTGAGCACCTCTCTCGCCCGCACGCACTCCGCGACGAGCTTCTCGGACGGCCCCTCTGGCGGCCACGTGGGGCCCGCTGCCCCCCCCCCCGCTGGCTCCCCCCCCCTTCTTCCCTCCACCGGGGCAACCCTCTCCTCAATGGGCCCCCCTCCCTAACCCCCATCCCTTCCTCTCGCCCCCACATGCCACTCTATTCCCACCCTTGCTCCTTCCTTGCTCGCTCCCCGTTCCCATCTCGTCCCCCCTATGCAAAGCAAGATCATGATACCTGTTTGGATCATGTCAATTAACCAAATCCCCCCACCCGCGCAATACTCGTCTTTGTGAGCAACTGGTGTGCGGCCGTTTGGCTGCGGTCGGTCCGTCTCCAGCCTTCCGTGTCAGGAAGACTTCTGGCACAACGCTCATGGCCGACGGCATACTGTGCAAAACACACCTGCTAGCAGTTCCCCTATCCGACACGGTACGAACGTTTCGACACTTCGCGTGGACCCGTCGATGCCATCTTCTGCCAGAGTCGAACGTACTGTGTGGGGCTACGTGCTACGGTCAGGAGCTGCCTTCGCGTGTCGCCGCGGCGGCCCTGCCGACACGCTGTGTCCTGCACGCGGCTAGCGTGTCGCTCAACCTCGCGGGGTGGGAGGCTGGGAAAGACTCAGGACGCTAGCGCTTAGGAGTGTTGACGTAGATTGCGTGTCGCGCCGAAGCGTGGTGGGACAGAACGAGCGGAACGACATGCTAAGCCAAAATTCCCGACCGTCTGTTGCATATTCGGGGCCTTCTCTGTCCTATCGCGTCGACATGCGCGTCGAGTCCGCGAACCCACGTCGACTCCGCGTCGAGTCCGCGTCGACTCTGTGTCGAATGCCCCTTGGCATTGCGTCGGATACCAGAGCAGGACCAACATTTACAGGACAGCCTAGGTCCTGCGAAACTGCAGCGTAATATCCTAGGCGTGTCCTTTGCCGCTTGCATGGCCCGACGCTGACGCGGAGCCTCCACGCCGTTGACCCGGAGGATCTGGTCCCCAACCAGCAGCGGCTCGCCCCCTGCCCGCCCCCAGCTCTTGGCAGTGGTCCCGTGGTCGGCAGGGGCCTCCGCCGCCGCCGTCGTCTCCGACGCCGTCGCTGCCGAAACGTCGAAATCGTCGTCCTCGCCCGGCCGATTTCGTCGTCAGATCTGTCGATTGTTGTCGTCGTTGTCGTCGTTCTGAAACTTGCCCTCCTCGTCGTCGTCCTCGTCGTCGCTCTTATCGTTGTAATCATCACCACCACCATCGTCATCATCATCACCACCATCATCAGCATCATCATCACCAGCATAAGCTGCATCATCATGATCATCATGATGATGATGATGATGATGATGATGATGATCATCATCATCATCATCATCATCATCATCATCATCATCATCATTATCAACCACATCATCATCGTCGTCATCAGCGTCATCGCCATCATCACCACCATCATCACTTTCGCTGTTTCGTCGTCGCTGTTATCGTCGTCGTCGACGTCGTCGTCGTCGTCGTCCTCGTCGTCACCGTGCACCTCGCCGTCGCCGTCGCCATCGCGGTCGCCGTCGCCGTCGCCACCATCATTTGCTGTCCGTGCTAAGCCGCTCCCACTGTCCAGGGATGTCGCCGGCCATGCACTTGTCGTTGTATGCTCTGATGGCCCCGTCCTCTAATATCTCGACGACCTCGGAGGAGGAGGGACATGCGCAGGTTTCCCCAGGATGGTCTGAAGCTTTTGGGTACATCCTGACATACTCTAAAATATTGAGGGGGAGGAGGAAAAGGAGGGGGGAGGAGGAGGAAGAGGAGGAGGAGGAGGAGGAGGAGGAGAGAAGGGAACGCCACTCAGGGGGAAGGAAGAATAACTGGCCGACCCGACCCAGGTATTCTGCATTGGCCGGCCGTCCTGGAAGTCCGTGTGGCCCTAATGGTGCTGTCCGTCTTGCGACCGCCCTACATCTTGCCCCCATGAAGGAGAGCGTAAGCGGGGCCGAAATCTGATCGTGATCGCGCAAGGCATTAACGGTGGAAGTGATGCGCACAAATGGGGATGTCGGAAACAACAGGCTGGCAAGCTAGGGGCAAGCTTAACCTGGGCACTCTGGGCTACAGGACATTCATCATAGTGTCGAAAATAATCACGTCCCACCGCCCTGCTTCCAAACCTACACGTCACACTCCTCCCTCCTGTGTGCCGAAACCTCCGAGGCGTCCACCAGCCATCACATATGGTCCTGAATTGGTCAGTCGTGATGTAGAAAAGGAATCCTTCGGCATAACTCCGATATTGATAAACATGCGGTCAGCATCAGCCTGGGTAGCCAACGGATCGAAATTTTAAAGGCGAGGGAGGAGCAACTTAGCGGCCAATGGGGGTGTTGGAGCGGGCATACAGGAACTTAAACACACGCTTCTGGAGGTCAGACGAGTTATGGTCGAACGGGGCACAGCGCACAGCTTCGATCTGGCCCTGGCCCGTGGATAGGCGGCAACAGGTCGACTGCTATGCCTCTTCCATCGACTCTTCCCAGGCACTCCGCGCAAGGTAAAATTGGTGACTCCGAGTTGCAAGCCTGCACCCAGCAGCTCGACATTCTAGCTCAAGATAACGCGGCTCGACCGGTGGCTCAATGGTCGTGAAGTGCTGCAAGAACTTCGGCGGGAACGCGTGCTCCGGGCCATTCGATATGGACTGGAGACTTTCACGGACAGTCCTGACACCCTCGCCAGATGGTGGTAAAACAACCGTCCCACAAAGCTAACCAAGGGAAAGCCGACGACGCTGCCCGCCGAGAGGCTCGCCGCAAGCCCATTATCAGGCTCTGGATATAACGGAACCTCATCCGAAGCTCCGAGAGAAAGCGGACCCAGGATGCTACAGCACTACTAAAGACCAAGGAAGAGCCTGAGATACGTGGCCACTCCTATACTATTGAATTGTTTCTCCTCCGCTCCTGAAGCTTTCTGCTTGAGCTTGGCCTGGTCCTCGGATGGCTTGGCAAATCAAATGATGTGAGTCTTGTTAGCGTTCACCTTCAGCCCAGCTGCTTGGAGTACGAGGGCCATCTCCCCCACCGCAACGGGGAAGGAAACAACAAACTCGCGGGCGGCCAATCCAAGATCGTCGGCGAAGACCCCGGTGCGAACCCCGAACCTCGACAGCTCGAACTTCATCTTGCGAATCATCGGATCGAAGCATCGAGCCCAACAGAAGCCAGATAGCGGACGGCCCTGCTTCACACCACGCGAACATCGAATACGACATTCGTTCGCACCACGAAACGGCACCATCATAAATAATGCCCTGACATTGTCTTGGATTATCCAGATGATGGCTGGCGGTAGAGCATTCTCACGCAGGATGGCAAATATCCGCTTGTGAGGAAGCGACGGGAAGGCACTGGCAACATGAACAATGGCACGGCCTGCTCCTTGCGTGTCGAAAAAGGACTCCTGGCGGATTCGAGCTCGATAGTGCTTTCGGCAAGCTTGCACCCGCCAGCAAAACTCATCTGGCTGCTTTCAACCGTGACGGCACTGCTGGAAACAAGGTGCTGCGCACTCATCACACGAAGAATTGTCTTGTCAGTGTTGCTGGGAACGATGGGCCTTGTGACGGACAGCCGCCCAACAATCACGCCCTGGCCCTCGCGCTCGGTGCCCTTCGGAACGAAGGCGCCCAGAGCAATGTGAAACTGGCCAGGCAGGCGGACACCTCCCAGCAGAGCCTCGTGGAGCTCATGCAAGGCCTCATGGCAAATGCGCCCACCCAAATGGTGCCATGCCGAAAGCGGAAGCTCGTCGGGGCCTACAGCAGAGATTTGCAGCCTGCCCAGGGAATCTTTCAGAGTCTACAACGTCTCGACGACGGGGTCGGGCATCGGTTTGTGGACAAACGGCAGGAGCTTGCCAATCGCCTCCGGAGAAGCCTCCACCTCAAACACCAGCTGCCGTTGGTCGCGCAGAACACAGGCGAATTCATAGGGCTGAATAGTGGGGGGGGCCACGAGGATGGTGGTTCCGAGCAGTACCCAGTTTACGATGCCCGAGAAGAAACCCAGCTCGTCGATTTTGCAAAGTTTCGGGCCGACCTTTCTTCTTGCAGGGTGGCTCGTCGCCCTCGGCGGCCTGCAGGGCAGAGGCGTGCTGCGCATTCGGCTGATCCACCAGCTGGTGAAATCCGAAGTCGGCAAACTGGGCCGCGCCGATATCAAGGAACTCGCGCAACTCTGGAAGGTCCCGACAAGCCTTATCCAGAACTTTGTGATCACCCCGTCCGCTGGCCCTCTGAGTTGCCAATCTCCAGGAGATCTTCCGCATCGGAAAACGGGACACTTCTCAGCAAGCTTCTCCAAGACGGCCTGCTTAGCAGCGCGAGCCACGGACTTCACCCCAGGAAGCCCCTGGACAGGGTCACAAACAATATCAACTTCACGGCGGATCCGAACAAAGAGCTCTTGGAACTTCGCGCGCTTGGCAACCCAAGATGGGATCCCCTGACGGGCGGAGGCGTTCGTCGTGAGCCCGACGAAAACCAGCATGTAGTCGCTAACGTTGCTGGTTCCAAAGTCACACCCATGGAGTCCAGAGGCAGGGCGGAGATCGCGCAGGGTGGAGATGAAGAGGTTCAGGTAAATCTGATCAAGCCTGGCATCTGGCCCGCGATACCCCTTTCTAGTTTTTCCCAACCCTCCTGCGTTGGGTACTCGTTTTGAATAGAGCACTGTGGTCTCCACCTTCCTCCCGCCTCCTCCCGCCTCCTCTCCTCCTCTCTTCGTTCCTGCTCTCCTCTCTTGCTTCCCTTCTCCTCCTCTCTTTGCTCGTCCTCTTCTCGCTTGCCTTTTACCTAGCTTGCCCCTCGCCATCCCTGGGGGGCGGCGATCTGCGAGACTGTCGTCACTTTCGAGGGCTGCTGGGGTGGCCAGCGGAATGACGCCCCACGGGGACTCAGATTAGACCTCGCCATCCCTGGGGGGCTGCGATCTGTGAAACTGTTGCCACTTTCGAGGACTGCTGGGGTGGCCAGCGGAGTGACGCCCTACGGGGACTCAGATTAGACCTCGCCGTCCCTGGGGGGCTGCGATCTGCGAAACTGTCGCCGCTTTCGAGGGCTGCTGGGGTGGCCAGCGGAGTGACGCCCTACGGGGACTCAGATTAGACCTCGCCATCCCTGGGGGGCTGCGACTGTGAAACTATCGCCACTTTCGAAGGCTGCTGGGGTGGCCAGCGGAGTGACGCCCTACGGGGACTCAGATTAGACCTCGCCATCCCTGGGGGGCTGCGATCTGTGAAACTGTCGCCACTTTCGAGGGCTGCTGGGGGGCCAGCGGAGTGACGCCCTACGGGGACTCAGATTAGACCTCGCCATCCCTGGGGGGCTGCGATCTGTGAAACTGTCGCCACTTTCGAGGCCTGCTGGGGGGCCCAGCGGGTGACGCGGGGATTCAGATTAGACCTCGCCATCCCTGGGGGGCTGCGATCTGTGAAACTGTCGCCACTTTCGAGGCTGCTGGGGGGCCCAGCGGAGTGACGCCACGGGGACTCAGATTAGACCTCGCCATCCCTGGGGGGCTGCGATCTGTGAAACTGTCGCCACTTTCGAGGGCTGCTGGGGGGCCCAGCGGAGTGACGCCCTACGGGGACTCAGATTAGACCTCGCCATCCCTGGGGGGCTGCGATCTGTGAAACTGTCGCCACTTTCGAGGGCTGCTGGGGGGCCAGCGGAGTGACGCCCTACGGGGATTCAGATTAGACCTCGCCATCCCTGGGGGGCTGCGATCTGTGAAACTGTCGCCACTTTCGAGGGCTGCTGGGGGGCCCAGCGGAGTGACGCCCTACGGGGATTCAGATTAGACCTCGCCATCCCTGGGGGGCTGCGATCTGTGAAACTGTCGCCACGTTCGAAGGCTGCTGGGGTGGCCAGCGGGGTGACGCCCCACGGGGACTTAGATTAGACCTCGCCATCTCTGGGGGGATGCGATCTGCGAAACTGTCGCCACTTTCGAGGGCTGCTGGGGTGGCCAGCGGAGTGACGCCCTACGGGGACTCAGATTAGACCTCGCCATCCCTGGGGGGCTGCGATATGTGAAACTGTCGCCACTTTCGAGGGCTGCTGTGGAGCCCATGAAACTGTCGCCACTTTCGAGACCTGCTGCGGGGTCCAGCATGGTACGCGGACGCAGATTGGACGCGTCATTCTACTTCGATTATCCCGCATCTGCGATCGACTGTATGTGTGCGAGGAACTAGACATGGAGTGGTCTGGCACTGACTGACGTCAAATCGTTGAGTGCCAGTGTCTCCTGGGGTGTTGCCTGATGTGGGTGCAGCTCGTCGGCGCTGCGACTCGAGCTGGCGGTCGTCCTTCGGACCCTCAGAAACATATGCTGAGCTCGATGAGCTAGGGGAACTACAGGAAAGAAGTGCAGGAAACGGAGGCCGGTCATGCACTCGCCGATGCCTCGTTGCTCTGTCATCGTCTTTGCTGTTGCGTGATCCTTATCTGGCCTGCCGGCGCCGCGGCTCGAGCTGGCGGTCGCCCTTCGGGCCCGCGGGAACATCTTCTGAGACAAGTGGACGCCGCCGCCTTACTTGCAGGCAGCGCATTGCATTCGCGGACAGCAGCATGGCAGACCGCAGTGAGATCCTCAGTCGCGTGGTGTTGCCAAGCCTGGTGGAGACGCGCGTGATCGACCTGAAGTCCCAATCGCGCGTGCACTGTACCTGCGTGGCGTTCAGGCACGCGCGTGATGCTGCTCGCTCCGCGTTCAACCAGTACGTCGCCAGTGCAACTTTGGACGATGGACAACCGATTGATGATACGCGACCCCGGCCTTGAGTTTCTTTCCCGCGGGCCGCCCGCAGACCTGGCGGCGCGCCTGCGAGCGTTCAGCTCCCGCGCTGAAATGTGCGGGAAGGAGGCGGAGAAGCTAGCGGGCGAGCTACGCCTCGCTCGTTCTTTGCACTCTAAACAAGCTTTATCATGTGGAACTCTGCGACGACATGGCGCAGGCAGCGCTGCGGGTTTAGCTCGCACTTGAAAAACGCGGCAGTCTTCTGTCTCTTCCCGCCACTTTCATCGTCGTCCTATTCCCCGCCTCACCTTCTCCATGCATGCTGCTGCTTCCGCGATGGCCTTTCGCCCCCCCCGCCCTCCATCCCATCCCTCTCCTACCCCTCGTTCCCGTACCCGTTTTTCTTCGATCCTGGGGCCTCAAGCCTTGTTCTTTCGATCGTCGTCCCCATGCGCATCCCATGTAGCTTGCACAGCAAATCGCCGCGTCTACACTGTCGTTGTTCCTGCTAATGTTGGCATACTCCTCTTGCCATTTGATGCACGTGGGTTGGGTACGTCGCAGGGTAATTAGTCCTGACATGTGTGGGTCACTGCTGCACCGCTCCAATGAGCCTGGGGACTCTGGCACAGAAGAAAGCGTTAAGGTAATAGTTGTTGGGCGCATGTCCGACCGACCTTTCCACATGCTGCCGAGTCTTGCCTGCAGCATGCAAATATTAACCGCCTCCGAAGATGATGGGGGGGGCACCGGTGTTTGCTAACGCGCGCAGAGCCTTCGAGACCATGCCGCTTTTGATAAACCGATCGCCCTGGGCCAACATGAATATTCATACATTGCACGCACCTTGTACTCCCAGACAACATGGCAGAGTGAAGCCGCCCCGCTTGGTGCACTCGAAGGAGGAGTCGAACCGATGGGTGTTGCCAGAAGTGCCTCTGGCCCGAAGTGCCCGCAGGATTTCCAAGGAGGCCCCCAGGGCCTCCAGAGCACCCCTCAGGAGGCCCAGAGGGCCCCAAGGGCTCAAAAATGGAGCGGAAAGCTGGGGGTACCTTGGGGCAGGGACACCTTCAGCAACCCCCGAGAATCGGAGGCGTCGAAGCGAGCCCTGTCCCTGTCCCTGGCCCGACGCGGGCTGGCGCGCGAGAGGCGGGCGCCCAGAGGAACGGGGCCCAGGGAGGCCTTCGCCGCTCTCGGGGAGGCGGCCCACGTCGAGGAGAAAAATCAAAGCCCTTCGGCAGCGCTGTATTCATGAGCAATCCCCTGTCACACTCTCGTGGGGTGTGCGATCGGATTGTGGTCTGTTCCCATTGGAGCCCTCGAGGTTCAGACGCAGGCTGCTGGAGCCCTCGAGGGGTGAGGCGGCCTAGAATGGAGAACTCGTCCCAGGGACAGGGCGGAAAGCCTCCCAGGGGGTCCACGGTGAAGAACTGTTGCTTAGCGTGTCGCGGCGGCGGCCTCCCGACGCGCCACGCCTTGCAAGCTGATGGCGCGTCGCGCTGCTTCGTGGGACGGGGGGCTGGAACAAGCTCGGAACGTTGATGCTCAAGGGCTGGGACGCGCGTAGCGCGTCGCGGCGATTCGTGGTGGTCCAGACGCGGCGGCGCGGCATACGGAGCAGACATTCCTGACCGCAGGGCCCGCTTCCCTCAGGGCCCGCTTCCCTCATGGCGGTGCCAGCCCGCTCCCCAATTTCCTCCCGCCCCGTGCCGCACCGAACTGCGGGTGCGCACCGTCCGTCCACGTCTATGCCCGGAGTCCACGGTCGGGGACTTTTGCTTAGCGTGTCACGGCGGCGGTCCCAGTGATACGCTATGCCTTGCGAGTGGATAGCGTGTCGCTCCGCTCCGCGCGGCGGGGGGCTGGGAAGGCTCGGGACGTTGACGCTCGGGGACTGAGGCGTAGATAGCGTGTCGCGCCGCAGCGTGGTGGGCCAGAACCAACAGAGCGACACGCTGAGCCAAAGTTCCTGACCGTACCCCCCCCCTTGATTGGCGGAGGGCCAAGGATGTCCCAATCTGGCGTTCCCATTCCTCTTCCCCCCCCCCACCTGCGGCCTCTGCAGGCTGGGCACCCAGCAGCAAAAGTGCGCCCTCCGATTCACACCTTCACGACGACGGAGACAATACGCATGTCAACGAACATTGCAACACACACACACACAAAAACCTACGAATCGCAATCGCCGCCCTGTTTCCGCTCTCCCGTGGCCGCGACTTCAAGCGAGGGATCGGTGGGAACTCTCGTTTCTCCCGCCCTGTGCTACTCAAGCTGGGGATCCGCACCGTCAGGGAGCACTCGTCGCGACCCACGTCCATGCCCAGCGTCTCGGCCTCACCAGTCCGTTCGGGAGCGCGCCCAGCGATCACCGAACACGGTCATCGCAGGATCGCTAGCGCCATCGCGACCACGGCGATCGGCCTGTGACCGACGAGCGCGGCGATCAGAAGCGTGGTACGACCCTTCAACTTCTTGGATATCTTCTTGACAACGCGCGTTCCCTGAGTTTACCATCCCTGGGACAGGCGCTTCGCAGCGGTTCGTTCTTTGCAGGTCCTGGGGACAAACACGTGAGGCGCCTCTTTGGAATTGGAATGTCAACAATCCGGTCGACGAGAAATGTGCCCTAGATTTCTTGCCGCAAGACCTTATATCACGTATCTGCAAGCGGGCATGAACTCTCGACGTCGGCGCCGCTCTCAGGGGCGGTTAGGGGGGGCCGCGAGTGTTTGGGGCCCCTTCGGGGCCCCAGATCTGGCCGAAACTGGCGCGTTCCCCCGAAACGCCGACCACAGCATTTCGACCTGCGTAGAATCGGCCGGTATTTCGGCCAGCGCCCAGCACACAGGCGCTCGACGTTCTATCCATGCCCCTGCTCACGCTCCGACCCCGCAAACGCGTCGGCATAGATAACATTCGGACCTCCAGAAACACGTGTTTCCCAATCCTCCCTTGGTTGGACTCTCGTTTTGAATAGGGCACTGGTCGCGCGATCCTCCTCCTCCATCTCCCGCCTCCCTCCTCGCCCTCCTCATCCCCGAAACCGTTCTGGCTCTAGCGGGTGCGCTCCTGCGAACGCCTTGGCCGCGGCGCCGTCGAGCGCGCGGAGGCTCGTGAGGGGGTGCGGCGGGCGCGGCGGCCTGTCAGTCCGGCACGGCGCAGCGCACGTCACCGGGGCGACCGTGGGCGAAGCCGCTGATCTCCTGCTGCACCTGCACGCCGCGCGCCCAGGGGCGGAGGTGGCGCCTGCAGCAGCGCCTCTGCTGGCCGAGGCGGCCGCTCCTGCCCGCCCCGCGCTCGGCGAGCGCGCGCAGGAGCTGACGGGGGCGGCGGCCGAGCTGGTGGCAGTGCTGGGCGCCCACACGCGGGCCACGGGGATCGCCGAGCTCCGCGCCCGAGGGCGGCGCCCCCTGCCGCGCGGCGGACGCGGCCGGCGGCTTCCTGCGATTCCCCCGTGCGGCGAAGGCCGTCGTCACCAAGCTAGAGGTCTGGCTAGCAGGTGGCGGCGCCGAGCTTTTGGACGCCCGAAATGGGCACGGAAAGAATGGGTACAATGCCCAACAACAAATGTTGTCCCAAACCAACAGCGGCCGCTGTTGGGCAGGCGGCCTTCTGTCTCGAATGGACACAGGCCGCGGCGGCGCGGACAGCGAGTCCTGTCCAAAATGAACAGGAACTGCTGTTGGGCATTGTGCCCATTCTTTCCGTGCCCATTTCGGGTGTCCAGAGAGTTGGAGGGTGGGGGGCAGGCGCAGGTACATGGCATCGGCGACCCGGAGAGTGGCGCCGCCAGCACCTGAGAGGCGCAGCTTGAGGAGCTGCGCTGGCAGTCTACGACAGTCCATAGCGGCCATTCTACGACTTTATGCTGCGTGCGCGATGGGGGGTGGGTCTTGTTCAACAACGACCAGCCGCCGCGCAGGATGCATGACGAGCCTGCGCACATCAGACCGAAGGAGGCGTACATGGCGGTGGATCGCCGCATGTCGCACAGTCAGGGGGAAGGAACAGCTCGAGCAGCAGCTGCAGTACGAGAAGCAGAAGCAAAGTAACTCCAACGAGCGGACTGTGCAGGCGGAGAACGCGGTACGCGACCTCGCCAACAGGGTGCACGAGTAGCGCAAGCAGATCGAGGAGCTCAAGATGGCCCTGCGCGAGCAGCACGAGATAGCCTCGCTCGCAGAAGTCCTCACCTTCCCCGTCCTGGCCTGCGGCTCGGACGTCTCGCGGAATGACACGCCGCCAAGGAACCCGTCCTGGACTTGTTTGGTGGTAACTCAGGGGCACCCATCCACCCCAGTACGAAGTCACGTCGCCAAGGGACGCCTCCTGGACCTGTTCGGTGGAGTACGACCAGGGGCACCCACCCCTCGAGCGCGCCGCCCAAGGGACGCATCCTGGACCAGACTCTGAGCAGACAAGCGCCGTCTGAAGAGATTCAGAGGGGTACCCTTCCCCCGCCAGCACGCAGCACCCTGGACCAGGACGACCACGACCCGTTCGCCGACCTCGAGGACCACGAGCGCGAGATCGTCGGAGGGGAGGGCCAGTCGTGCTACGTCAAGCAGCTGCAACGCGACGACGACGCCCAGGGGGCCAACGGCCACCAGCCGAGCTCCGAGGAGGTCGAACCCCAAAGGTGGGAATCAGGGACGGCCGGGTGAACTTCCACGGACGTGTACATGCTGGGGGCCCTCGGAAACCAGCAGAGCACCGCGGAGAGCCAGGGTAGTCACCAGCACGCGTACGCGACTGAGAACAGCAACGGCGACGTACTGACGGCCCCGGCGCGGTGGGGGGCCGTACAAACAATCCCCAGGTAGCGCGCGCAAAGTCGCGCGAGGGCGCCGCAACAGGCACGCGTCGAACGCAATGGCCCGTGGATAGCAGTGGTGGCGCCGCTGCTTGCCCTCGGCCCTGCAGCTGCTGCTGGCGAGCGAGGATGACATGTGAATGTCCAAGGTGCGAGGTCGGCGCCAGACGCTTACTTCCATGATGGTGTCACGTGCCTCTCCGAGCTAATTTGCGGTGACGGCGACAGCATGGGGGGCCAGGGCCAGAAGGTGAGGATTACCCCTTCGACGACCATACCGTCGGCGCGCACGGGGTGTGGCTGCTGCAATGCGCCGAGGGGGGCGCGCCGCCGTGCTCCGTCTTCGTCGACATCAGCTTGGGGATCACGACGTAGCTCCCGTGGTGCCGAGGCCGTGCAAGAGGCCGAAAGGCAGCGGGGCTACCCTACGCGCGTCGGTCGCGCGCCCCACGGAGAGGAGGGCCGCCTGGAGCCCCGCGGCAAAAGGCCGTCAACCTGCCAAGCCAGGAGCGGCGCACGGGCGACTGTCGGTCCCGTCCTCCTCCTCCTCTTCTTCCTCCCCCTCCTCCTTCTGCTCCTTCTCCCACCTCCTCAGCCTTTTTGTTTTGTTCCTCCATGCTCTTCCTCCTTCTCCTCCTCCTTCTCCTCCTCCTCCTCCCTTTCCTCCTTATCCTTCTCTTCCTCCTGTCTCCTGGTGGCTGTCAACGGCTGCCACCTCGAAGCTGTCGCAAATTCCGTGGGCCCCTCGGAAGGCCCAGCGGAGCGGTGTCCCACGCGCATCAGAATGAGGCCTCGCCACCATAAGGCCTCGAGCTGCGAAGCTGTCGTCGATTTTGTGGGAACCTGGGAAGCACAGCGGAGCCTAGCCCCACGCGCATCATAATGAGACTTCGCCGCCCCTGGGACTCGAACTGCACAGTTGGCGTCACTCTCGTGGGCTCCTGGCAGGTCCAGATGGGCGGTGTCCTGCGCACACCCGGACCGAACCTCGCGTCTCTTGCGCAGCCGCAGCCGCTGTCGTGGGCCCGGGGGGCTGCCGTCTGATATGCTGTCGCCCTTGTCGCTGGCCCTTGGGAGGTCCGACGGAATGGTGGTCCACTTGGCCCGCTGAACATATCATTCTGCCATCGCCTCTCTCCCAATCGTCAGCTGCCGCATGTTGTTTTGGAGATTCTGTTTGAGTTCTGATGGGCGGCACCATGCCAGGCGTCATCGTCGACGCCGGGCATCAGGATGTTCACGACATGGACGGGTCTGGCTTCACCTGCACGTTATGCTCTCGAGGGCGACGACGTCGGACAACCTCCCGATGATCCGCGATCCGAGCCTTGACTTTTGTCCCAAGGGCCACCAGCAGACCTGGCCACCCGCATTCGGACGGTCGGAACCCGAGCGGAACGCTGTAGGAAAGAGGCCGCACAATTGGCGCATGACACGGCCTCGCCAGGTTCCTGCATGACTGAAGACGGCCCCCGCCAGCAGTTGCAGCCGCGCTCCTGTGCAGATCACTGTGCTTCAATGGCGCGGGCGGCGGCGTCTGCAACTGGCGGCGACTAGTCCCATATGACAATGACACAACATGAGCTCCCGTAGCACGCGGCGCGGTCCCGACACATAGCGCGCGGCGCTGTTCGATCACAGGTCGCAGCGCGCTGGGGCGTCATGCTGCGCAGGGCGCTAACGTCTGTCCACTTCAACCCCCTCTTCAGCTACCTCTTGCCCGCGATGCGTTTGGACACTAGCAGCCATCAACGCAGCTCGCTGTTTTGTCATAGATGGCGAGGCGCTGTTTTGTCATCTGTTTCCCAAGCCTCCCTCCTCCATGTGTTTCTGCCCCCGTCATGGTTGCTCCTTTGCCTGCTCGCTGTCGCCTTGTTGCCTACGATGCGAGTCGCAGAAGTGATGCCGTGAATGGGGGGCAATTGTGCGTGGCCTGACATTATTTGACAAAACGCTCAGGAAAACTGAGGTCCTTCAACGTGTTCTTTTGCATGGACCGGTCATGGGTGTAGCCGCGCCATGTGTATAAAAGGTTGGGTGCGTCCCCGGATCGCAATGCGGAGCGTGCGCGCGCGTGCGGCAGGATGCAACATGGGGCACATCAGTATACCATTCGCGCGGGTGTCAAGATGCACTGGGCAAGTCTTTTTCCAGTGGGCCTTGGGTCTCCCCCCCTACGCAGCCTGGAGGCCAACCCTGGCACACAGGAGGGGGCTGCCGAGACCCAAGGGATGCCAACACCAGGAATCACAGACACAACCCGTGCCCAACTCGTGGGCCGAGAACCGCTCAGAACTGCTGGCACCAGCCATCGCCCACACCACGAGGAGCCTGCCGGGCAGGCGAAAAGCCTGCCCAGGGCGGGCGGTTGGGAAAGGAGGCAAGAAGGCAAGCCTTCCCGCTCACAATCTCACACTTTTGTGCAAAGATAGCTACTGACCATGCTGCATGCTGCACGTCATCAACCCTCTCCTGTCGCACTCTACATTGTTTCGGTAGGCGCTCGTAAATCAGAAAGCAAGATTCGTATGTCACGGAATACCCATGGGAAGATGCGTTCGTATGTCAACGGGATACCCTTTGGAGGTGGCGTTGGTATGTTTACCCTTCTCCTCCCCCCAGGGGAAGGTCTGGACCAAATGGTTTCCGCCACCTTGCGTTTCTGCGAGACGGGGGGTCTGGACCAAATGGTCACCGTGCATTCTGGGTCTCATCCTTTACTCTTCGCAGGAGCACACAGGCCCGCCCGCCCCACGCAACCCACCGCACTAAAACACGGTCCCCACGGTCCACTTGTGCTCCGACAAAACCCGCTTTTCGCGATCATCACACCAGCCCTGTGGGTTAATGGTCTAGCGATTCTTTCTTGTTCCAAAACTGTCTTCCTTCGGGGAGGGTGCTCTCCCCCTCACCTCCCAGCGACCGCTGGACGGGGAGGGACGGAGGGGGTATAGCGCCAAAGATGGTTTTAAGAGAGGCCCCGATACTCAAATATGGCCTCCAAGACGGCTCAAGATAGCCGAAGATGGTTCAAGATAGCTCCCAACATAACTCCAAGAGACCCGACGAGGGCCACTAGATGGTTCCAAGTGCTCTCGGAGCCTCCTCAAGGCCCCCCCAAGGGGCAAAATCATTCAACAACCAACCGAACATCACAGATTGTTGCCTTTTTCTCGTTTTTTTCGCATCCCATGCGACTTAAAAGGCCTCATGATAGCCCCAAGCTGGCCCAAGAGAGGCCCAAGAGGGTCCAAGAGGCCCCCCCCGACGGCCCCAGGAGCGCCCAAGAACGGCCCAAGAGCGCCCCAAGCAGCGATGCAGATGACCCCAGGAGGGCAACGCACATCGAGGATCCCTGCTCCATTGATCGACTCCCCCAAAGATGGCCCAAAGATGCTCTACAGGGCTGCCAAGAGGGCCCCACGAGAGCTCCAAGAGGGCCCCAAGATGGCTCAAGACGGCCCGAAGAGCGCCCCAAGAACGTCCCACGAGGACCCCAACCGGCGGCTTGTCTCCTCCTCCTCCTCCTCCTCCTCCTCCTCCTCCTCCTCCTCTCCTCGTCCTCCTCCTCTTCCTCCTCCCCGTCCTCCTCCTCCTCCTCCTCCTCCTCGTCCTCCTCCTCCTCCTCCTCCTCCTCCTCCTCCTCCTCCCCTCGCCCCCCCCTCCGCAGGCCCCAGAAATGACCCGAAGAGGCCCTCCAAGGCCACCCCCTTGCTCTTGACGATCTCTTTTGTCATAGTGGTTGCCCGCTTTGTTACTTCGCCCCTTTTTCCCGTCAGCTCTCGTGGGCAATGTGTCTGAACGGGTTGGTGGGGTTACTTTTTGGTCGGCGGCCGCGCGACAAAGGTCAGGCGGCAACAGGCGTGTCCGGGACGGCGGAACACGCAAATTCCACGCGAGGCGTGCAATGCACGTGCGCTGAGCAAAATGCTCCGCATTCACTGGGTTGCATCTAGCGCACAGAGGTACAAGCTGCGGAGTAAGTCGCCCTTGCGGCGCCAAGCTCCGAGCAACTTCCCAGACAGAAAACTATGTACCAGCCTGGGACGCCAGCTGCACGTAGTGGGAACGTAGGCCGACGACGCCGAAGGCTGACCCACTCGGCGCGCGGCCATCGGAACCTACCACCGACTGTAGACGCTGGCCAAGATCCAAAACACAGTGTCGCGCGGGTGTGGGAGCGCTGCTGCAGCCCACGGAGTGCGACAGGGCGTGTGGAGGGGGAGCGCAGCTCACCGCCACAAGATGCACGCAACTGAAGGGCAGCTGCACACCGTCTGTGAGAACACATGTGGGGGTGCAGCTAACCGCCGCAAGAGCCATGTAGTGAAAAGGGGGGGAAGCTGCACGGTGCAATGCGGCCTAGGCTGGAGTGCGCCAGCGCTGGCCACAAAGCGACAGGACAGGCGACAATGCGCAACACCGCTGAGACTGCACCAGGTGTGTACTGGTGGTACGAAGCTGAAGGGCAGCTGCACACCGACTGAGTGGACACGTGTGTGGGGTGCAGCTAACCGCCGCAAGAGCCGCGTAGTGCACAGGGGGGGAAGCGACACGGCGCAGCGTGGCGTGGGCTGGAGTTTACCAGCGAAGAGAGCCACAGAGCGCCCGAGTCAGAACCCTACGCCACAGCTGAGGCTGCACCTGATGTGCGGCCCACGTCACCACCAACGACTGCAGACGCTGGCCACGATGCAAGAACACAGTGCCGCAAGGCAGTGCACGGTGCAGAGCGGCATAGACTGGAGTGAGCCAGCGCTCAGGGCCGCTAAGCGACCGGGCCGAACACACTATGCCCCGGCTAGAGCGACACCTGATGCGTACCAGCTTGGGAAAACCGCTGCACGCGGTGGAGGAAGGCCGACGACGCCGAAGGCTGAACCACTCGGCGCGCGGCCGACTCCACCGTCACCGACAACAGATGCTGGCCACGAGCCGTTTGCCAGCGCTGAGGGCCACTAAACGGCCAAGCCAAGCAGTACGCGGCACTGCTGTAGGCACCTGACCTAGAACGGCTGTGCGGCGAGCAGGGAGGCGAGTATTTTAGGCGTCAGTCCCTGCCACCGGCAGCGGGCGGCTGTCCTGCGGCGGACAGCAAAGAACGCCGGGGGGGGCCCAAACGGCCGACCTCTGGGCGTCGACAGGCGAGGCTGCCGCTATGGGACAGCAAAGCAGGAACCTCTACGTTGGTGAAACTTATAGACGCGGCCTGAGGTACCACTCAGGAGACACGCGTGAAAGAGGCGCACGGGCAAGGCGGCTCGGCACAAAACCCTCACTGGTGGATAGCGGCGACCCTCGCGTGCCCAAGGACGACCAGCCCCACGGATCCCGCCACAGTGTCCATTGCTGGTGGGGTTACGCGGAGCGTGAAACAACTACCCATGCCCTGAACCCCCTTGCATCCAGGCTGGCGGGTAGCAGCAGGAGCATGCATCTGTCGTCGATCGTCGAGCACGTGAGTTGATGGCATCTCTGATTACGCTGACGATCGCTGCGCTCGCCGCAACAATATAGCACCCGATAGCAAAGCGTCTCGGGCAAACCACAACGATCGCTTCTCTGGTGCGACATTGGCGCTCGGGGCCTGGGAGCCTGGCCGGTGTCCACGGCCATTATGGAATACTGCAGGCAGAAACGTTTGCTCACCGTGTCGTGGCGGCGGCCACTCGCTGTGCCATGCGAGCTCGCAGCATGCCGCTTGACGACTGCGAAATGCTTAGCGTGTCGCGCCGGAGCGTGATGGTCCAGAACCAGCGACGCGACGCGCTGAGCAAACGTTCCTGACCGTAGTAGGGCTCTGTGGGCCACCTTCTGGAAGGTCAGTTCCTTCTGTGGCGCTCCTGCCCCAAACCCCCAATGTCGTCGTCGCGTTTCTCTCTAGGCCCCGAAGAGACGACTCGACCCCCTTCCCTGGGACGGCGCTCCATCCAGAGCGGTCCCGGGGCCCAGCGACGGCCCCTTAAAGGTCAAAGCCAGACACGCACACACAAACACACACACACACACACGCACACACACACACACACTGAGAGGATGACATATGATCTCAACACCTGTACCTACGGCCCTCTTGGTCCCTAAGGTCCCCCTCGAGGTCCTGCGCGAGCACGCTGATGGCCCCCTCCAGGACCGCAGTCTACACCAACAAAAAACTTAGACAGCATCCCAAGAACATAACATATATTCAAGAGTACAGCTCAAGAAGCCACAGCAGTGCCGACATACCTCTGATACAAGAAACCAAGAATCATTCTGACGTCGTAACTTTGTCACAATTCGGCATCCACATTTTGTTCTCGATGCCTGGCTTGACTACCGTGTCGCGTCTTTGAACATCAACTGCTGCCTGGGCGACGCTGGCCTCGCATGGGCGCGGGGCGCCAGGCAGTTCTGCCGAGAGAAACTCGGACACACAATGGCGACATGTGATCAAAACGTGCGAACGGGCAACATATGTGGACATAGGTGTCTGGAAGCGTGCGCGCATATGCCATCATTAATTCGTCAAATTTGGAATGCACCCTTCTGGAGCGCGGACTGCGACGCAGCCCCTCAAGTGTGGGGCTGACAACGCAACAACCGCAATTCATCAGGAAAGACACACGCAAGCCTCGCATAATGGTGGAAAAATCAACGGGCGACGAGACAACCCAATCTAGATTCTTAAGACACAACATAGACCAACCATGCCACGTTCCAATAATCGCCGGTTTCGTGCCACCTTCAGTAGCCGTTCAGAGCACAGCGTGTCGCGGCCTTTGGGGCATGCTGCCGTCGAGGATCGTTCTTATAACAAGAACCTATGTAGAAGTGCGCTTCATGCTGTCACGATGCCTGCGGCAGCAGCTGAGTCCTTGACTCCCGTTGACATCTTCTCCCCTGAGCTGACCGCGCCCATCGCCGAGCTTACGTTTCCCCGGAGGAAGCGCCCAGCGAACCATTTTCCCAAAGCCAAGGGCACACGCGCATCAACGCCCGTGCGCACATCTGCTCCAGAGCCTTTTCGAAATCAAATCTCGCGTCGAGGATCGCGACGGCACGCTGAAATCCGCACAGCAAAATCAGCAAGACAGCCATGCATGTCATCACTTGTCCATCCCCAGGATAAGACCACCTCTTAGGAGCAGTGGAAACTGGCCGCGTGGAGACGCCGCTTCAGGGGCGCCGAATTGTCTGAAGGCCTCCGTCGGAGATCGTGCCATCTTCCGTGAGACGACCGCGCGCAAACTCGCCGAATTGCTTCAGACCTGGGTTCTGGACCTCCGCGTCCGCGGCGCCAAAAGAAATAAGTTTGGCGCGCCGCCGGACGACCGACTTACCCTTCTGGAGGGCGGCCAACCACTCTGCGAAGAGGAGCCTGTCCTCCGCCTCCATGGCCGCTTTGGCCGACTCCTGAGCCATCGCGCGATCGCCGCTGATGCCGAATGTCGCCAAGCCTGCCTCGTGGACCTCCTGTTGGACTCCCGCGTTGAACATGGGGGCGCGCAGCTCCTCCACGCGCCCGCGCTGTTCTGGCGGTAGTGCCGCGGTGACAGCGGCAGGAGCCCGGCTGCCGCAGATTGCTGCCTGCTTCGGCTGAGGTGACCTCGCGCACGTGCGCACATCCGCACTTGCCCTGGGCCCCCCGCGTCTCAGCCAAGCTCGCGTGCTCGGCCTTCATCTTCTTGAAAGCTGGGCGGCCCTCAAAGTCAGAGGTGTCGTTGCCGTTGGTGTCGCCCCAGAAGGCGCTGGTGGGTCTCGCGCCGGATGGGTGCGTGGCGGCCTTGCCATCGAAGAATGTCGCGGCGGCCTGCGCGACCTCAGCCGCCGCTTCGGGGGCCGGTGACATGTCCCCTCGGCACGGGGCGCTTCCCGTAGTCACTCCGCTGTTCTGCTGGACTAGCAGCTGCGAGATCGACTCATCTGACCCGCGGCCTGCATCTCCGACATCAGGGTTTGTCACTGGCTAGCCATGCCGCTGAACTGGCCTTGGCCCTTGCCGCCGCCGCCGCGCAAATGCCCCCCCCCCCCCCCCCCCGCTGCCCGTCGCCACCCATGCCCCCTTTAGGCGGCCAGGACTGGCCGCCCACTGCATCTCGCGGCACAGGGCGGGAAGGGGGTGGCGCGGCGTGCTCGTCGGGCCTGAACTCGCGCGCGGTTCGCGGCAAACTCGGCTGCAATGGGCGACTCAGGAGAGGCAAGATGAGCGCAAGTCAGGAACGTGAGCTGAGCGCATGACCACATGAGATTTTGTCGAGGCCCAGGGGGGGGGGCCAGGTACCGAATCCTCTCGGCGATTGCGCGCGGGTATCCAATGCGAAGAGATACCAAAGCACCATCGCAACACATGAAGATACTTTTCTCCTGGGTGAAGCCCGGCCTTTCCCGGCGCCGAAGGCGACCTGTAAGTTCGCTGCAATGATGTGCAAGTGTGCGTCGGCGAATGGAGCCCACGTGCGAAGGCGCAGCATGCGTTGTTCAATCTGAGATGTTCCCTGCCGACGCCAAAGCCTCATTCGCATGGGTGCCTGAACCCAAAACGCTATCAACATGTACATGTATTTCCATTCCCGAATACGGACTGATAGCACTGCCTTGCGAGGCGCGTTGAGTATTCACGACGTCAGTGCTGTTTCTACCACATACGTGTATACATATACATATATAAATATATACATAGATAGTTGTGAGCACGTGTTGCGCATGGCATGAAATATAAATAGGAGAACCTCAACATGGCGCTTGCGGAATATTTCTTGTTTTGTTTTGCTTAGCCCTTCTTCTTATTACTATTACGCTGCTTCTTTTTTCCACGCTGCGTCTGCCGGGCGCTCGCGCTCCGAGAGCACCGCGCGCAAGATGGTCGGGCTCGTCGGCCCGCCGATCTGGATGCCCTACACTTGCGCGGGACAGAACCTTGCGCGCAGGGAAAAACGGAAGCCCATGAAGGCTGCGAGGGAGCGAGTGCAGTAGACATGGGGAGCGCTGTGCGATCCCGAAACTTGGCGGCGATGGCCCCCCCCCCCCCCCTGGAAAAACACGCGCACGGCGGGACTTCAAGACAGAGATGCACCTGCACGGCAGCCGGTGCTTGACCCGCCTGAACAAATCATCAGTCGCCCTCCGCATCCTTCAAGGGTGGACGGCCTGCGCCATCGACGAACGCACCTGGAAGAGTCGCGGCTTGGTCAATGGGCGCACCTCATGGAACCATGTGTTTCCAAATGCTTCTGCTCCGAAGGGCCCCCGACCACGCCGAATCCAGGTCCCAAGACGACCGCCCAACAAAGGAGACGTCCATGCGATGCTGCATGGACTTACCCGTGCGCCAATGCAATCCACGCCAAGGGAACTTGGCTGAGCTGCCTGTGTTCCGAACGCAAGAATGGGGTGTTTTCGAGTGCAAGGAGAGACAAACCACGTTGCGTTGCGATCCTTGTCCTCGACGCTGCCGCCCAGCCCGCCAGCGCGCTGATCGAAAGAGGCGAGCGGTAAGCTTCAGTGGCGATGGCGAACGGATCGGGCTCGCCGAGCGGGGGAAGGCGGATCGAGAGATGCGACCCATGCCGATCGCCTGAGAGACAAGGCATGTCGCACAAACTGATCGCGCGAGACCTGTTCGAGCGCCGCCAACTCTGGCTGAACAGCGCGACTGTTAAAGCTACTTCGGGTCACGGCAAATTCCCCTGCTGCTCCCGCAAAAACTTCAGACGGCAAAGCTCAACTATCTGTCGCACTCAACCGTTGTAGCGCTTGATATCGCCCAATCTTGTTGGCGAGGAGTCTGAGAGAAAAAGCAACGGAAGCGGGAAACTGTGGCTCGCGCGTCCTGAGCCTCATGGAAGACCCCTTGGAGCCACGCACGAACGCGCCGTTCTTCCCCAGGGCTAGATTCTGTAATATGAGTTGGCCCAGGTCATGGATAACCCATCGTGCGTAGGTACTCCCCCAGACACCCCTGAAATGCATTTTATCTGGGCAGTTCGGTAGGATAGTGCTGACCTGCCATATGAGATACAAGCGATCGGGATCATTGCCAGAACGTGGGTCAGAGCGCTCCCAAATAACCTCCCGCGGCTAAAATGCCGCCCGCCGTGGGGATAGCCATGCCGAGCAGCTACGTGCATTCGGCGGTCCTAGCTCACCTGAACGTCGACCTGGTGCTTTAGGAAAAACTCGTATGTGAAGGGGAATGGGACGACGCAGCGCTCCTTGCCAAAATCTCCGCGCAGCAAGGTACTTCTCAAATCTCAGCGATCGCATCATGAGCCTTTCAACGCGGGCATTCCCCCACAACTGTGCTTCTTTTAGCTCCTCCCCTCGTTCCTGTGGGTGCCAACGTGCAGGGCGATTCCGGCGAGTCAATGCGAGCGTGACTGGGTATATGCTTGACCTATGAACCTCGCTGAGCCCAATCCATTGGCTTCAGGCCCGCAGGACTGAATACAGGCAGAGTCAACAGCTTTTGCCCTGAATGCGGGAGCCGTCGTCGAAACCGAACAAGAATAATTGTCAACGCTACCTGGGAGTAACTTCCGATGCCAGTCAATATCCGGAATTGGGAGGCCCGTAGCGACCTAGTAGAGACCTTGGAGTTCGGAGATGCCCCCAAAGCCTTGAGGAGACTCCAGTACATGTGCCTGTCCGAATACATGCTCCTTGTCCGGTCTACAAGGTTCTAAAGCCCAGTTGGTGAACGAGACTTATACCACGGTTTTTGGTATTCGAGCGTCCCGATGCGCGCTTCTATTGGATCAGGAGGAAACTGACACGCTCCAAACAATGAGAAAATGTGGAGCGACTGGTCGCTGCAGAGCTTCACAAAGGTGGGACGGGAAGCCCCGCGAAAAAAAAACAAGCCAGACGCTGCTGGAGCCGACGACCTCGCGTCCACGAGGCCCGCAACCTGCGCATGGACACGGCAATCGACACTGCGACGGCAACGTGCTGTATTTTGGGCGGGACATTTGCCTGCGGAACCTCGAGCAATCTGAACAACGGTTGCTGCAGAGTGGACATTGTGTTCACAAAAAACTTCCGACGGTCTAGATAAAACAATCTGCCAAATGCCTTCAAAAATAATGCGCTAAATAAATACAGCGCTCGGTCCCCAGATGATAATGCACACCGAAGTCTAGCTGGTCTGACAGGCCACAAAGTCCGTCTACGACAACATAAACTGGTAACGTAAGCGACAAACCGTTGTTTTGTCCGAGAGAAGTCGGGGCAGGACTTAGACATTCCGCGGGTACGTTAACCAACCTCTTCCAAAATAGAAACCCGATCGCCCGCCTGGCACTAACCATGCAACAATAATACATGCATGAGCAAGCATGGCCGCCTCGCACGTGTCAAATGGGTCAGAATATATGGAATCAGGCATCTGCGGTACACTGAACAAGCTGTTCGCAGTTGCGTTCCCGACACCAACACACTATGATGATGCTATATGATATCGGCACCTGTGCCTACTGCTTTTTGGGCCCTAAGGTCCCCCTCGCGGTCCTGCGTGAGCACGCCGAACGCCCCCATCCAGGACCACAGTCTACACCAATCTACCTCCAAATACCATACCATATATTAAAGAGTACAGTCCAAGAAGCCACAGCAGTTTCGACATAGCTCTGACTCAAGAAACCAACAATCATTCTGACGCCGCAACTGTGTCGCATCTCGACATACATATGTTGTTCTCGCTGTTGGCTTGACTAACGTGTCATGTCTTTGAACATCAACTGCTGCCCAGGCGACGCTGGCCTCGCATGGGTGTGAAAGCGCCAGGCAGCTCTGCCGAGATACACAACATGGCGACATATGACCAACACGTGTGGACAAGCAACATATGTGCACATATAGGTCTGGAAACGTGCATGCATGTGGCATCATTCGTACGTCAACTATGAAACTACAACCTTCTGAAACACGGATTGCGACACGACCCGTAAACTGTATAACACACACTACAGCAGTCGAAATTCAGCAGCAAAGACACACAGACACACACACACACACACACACACACACGCACCTTGCAAACCGATCGCTTCAAGTCGCGAGAAGTCTGGTTTTCGGGACATCGCCCGGGCCTCGAGCGGCCGTTCGGGACGACGCTGGAAAGCACCCTGGCGCGGAAAAAGCCTTCCAAAAACCAACCCTGACTTTTCAAACCATCCACTATCGAAACACTTCCATGGCGATTGCTTGACGACGCGAAGGAATTTGGTACCGCAAGGCAGCTCGATCACCCCAGGGATCCAGCCGGGCGCGCTAGGGCCCTGGCCGCGTCCGGGGAACTTCTGTCGATGGCGACTGGGCGGGGCGGGGCTGCTTCTCTCCCAAGGGCCACAGCCGGACCGCTGAGCGGGACGAAGAGGGAGGGGCAGCGGCGGCGGGGGCGGCCGGCTCAGGGGGTACACGTCGAACTGGAATTCGGCGATACATCGCCGATGAATACCAGCGTTCCTGGGCGGGGTGGGCGACCCCCCATCGGCAATGAATGGGCGATCGGGGGTCGATGCTTGCCCTGCGCCTATCCCTGCCTAGCGTTGCCTCTGAGAGGGAGCGTCTGCCCAGACCTCCTCTTGCAGCGAAAAACAACACCCACGAATTTCAGTTGGCTCATTTTCGGCCTCCGTGGGCCCTTCCTGTTAATACCTCGGGTTACGCACAGACAGCCCCACAAGGTAGCCCCAGCCCCCCGAATAGTCCCAGCTGGCGTTAAGAGGCCTCTCAAGTAGCGCAGGGCAGTCTCAACACCTCAACCGTGGGGCGCACAGCGCCCCAGGGGCGCCGCCGCAGGCGGCGCTAGGGTGTCGAGACCGCCATGGGCTACTCGGCCAGCTGGCGGGATGTTTGCGCGCAGCCCGAAGCCTTACCAGACCCCGCCAAGCCCTGCGAGCGGGGTCCCAACGAAGTAAGTGGTCCAGAACTACGGGGGCCCACGCTGTGAGCAGGTCGCGGCGGCGGAGGTCTGGGCAAATCGCCCGCCTCCGTTTGCCGACTGGAGGCGTGCGCGGGCGCGCGCGGTTCTCTTCGCACCCCCTCGCGCTGCCGCCTGTGGGGCCCGTGCATATGTGTGTCCCAGGTCGTGGCGCGCCAGGCGCGACCATCTTCGCGCCCCTGTGGGTGACCTGGCGGCACACGACCGCCCGCAGCGACAGCGCAACCGAAAACCGACCGACACTACAGCGCGACCAGAACCGACAGGCCGCAAGCAGCATAGAAGGGCGCAACGCATAGTGACCGACCGAAACGAACTGAATGCAACCGATTGCGAAACCACCGAACCGATCGAACCGCAACCACCATTTTAACAAGAGGAGGACGAAGGATGATGCAGGAGGGATTGCCGCGCCCCGTGCGTGGCTCAAGGCAAAGCCCAGCGTGCGCTCCCGTAGGTTAAGACCTTAGATATGTGTTCGACATTTCGCTTCGATGGCAACCGATGCGAAAGACATCCAGATCTCCGAGCCCAACCGCGACTCGGATCTAGATGACGATCTTCCTTCACCCTATCAGGATCGTGGCGCTCCAATTCCACAATTGTTGCACACACCTGTGACACATGCTACTTTTCCTGTGACGGACCATCGCGGCGCTGAGCCACGTCCGACTGGAAGGACAGTTCGTGGGGGTACCTGGCGACACCACCACCAAGAAAAGCGCAATTAGACAAACTCTGCATACCGACACGGACAGTCGCAATGTTGCGCCACGTCCGACTGGAAACTTTGTGCACAAGCAACAACAAGGACAGCAACCCGGGACAACACCAAACCCACAGGACACCACACAAGTCTTCCTCAGTGCAGAAATTGGGCGATCACCTCGCAGAAGTGGCTCGCGAGCTTGCCGTTGCCCGCGCCGGCGGCGCCGGCGGCCAGCACCCGTTGCCCGCTTCGCCAGGCGGCGTGAAAGGCCAGGCGTTGCCGAGCAGTTTTGTTAGGCGCGCCTGGACCCGAAGCAAGCTAACTGGGTGGTGTGGGCTGCAGGCGCAAGGGTTCGTGGAGGCCGTCCTTGCGCGTCTCTCGGCGGCCCTGCCTCGGACCCTCCTAGGGTGCACGGCGATCTCCATTTCACTAAAGCACCTTGCGTTTGAGTTGTGCGCGCGAGAAGACGACGACACAAGCCTCTACTGGACGGGTGTTGCGCGCACGGACAGGGTACCCATGTCAGCTTCACTCCACGACGCCGTCATGGCTCCAGCCACGGCGCACACCGCAACTTTGCACGACAAATTTGCGTCACCAGTGCCCGTCTCAGATCACAACAACCCCCCACACGCAGTGAAAGTGTTGCAGGCGAAGGGTTCCGAGCTTCGTGCCGCCGGTTCTGAAACGTCCGAACACACTGTGCTACTGTTTTTGCAACAATTGTTTAGCAACTTGGATGTCCTGCGCGCTCCACTAGAAAATCATGGAGATGTTCTCGCCAGACAGACGGGACGCAATCTTTTGAATGGCAGGGCCCAAAGCAGGGCACTGTGCCGGAGAGGCGTACTCTTCGCAACAAATGGGGGTACCAGCGAACGCAATACGCTGGAGCCGGTAGCCAAAATGTTGTACGTCTTGGGTCGTCAGGCGGCGCGCGACGCCAAGCTGATGGACATGAAACTGTATCTCCAACGCCCAGAAGGCCGTGGAGCACAGGCAGCGGCCAAAGAGTTTGAACGTGGTCCACCCCGTGCGGCTAGCACCATAAATGTTGTCGTCGATTGCAGAAGGCGCCCGAATCGTCAAAAGGGAAACTCTTGATCTCTGAGAAGAATCGGGCGCAACCTGAGGCACCTCACGAATACAATGCTCGCTTCGTAGCCATGGGCAGCGTCTTGTTCGACAAGCGAATGAGACTAGAGCGTTCGCCGTCTGCCTCCATCTGGCCATCCGTCGCCAGCCTCACCGGCGCGCGTTTCGCCCAGGCACAGTCACTCGCGATGGATCAAAAGACAGATGCCATCGACCTTCTGAGTGCGCATCTACAGGTACATCCTGAGGAGACTAGGAGCACTGCATCATCACTCCCGCTGACGTGATCGACATCTTACCGCTGCAAATTCAACTGGAGCTTCGCTCACAAACAACAACCTGTGTGGAGACTGGTTTGTGCATTGTATGGCCTCCAGCGTTCGGGTTCGGATTTCGTTGCTGCATTCACCCAGCGGCTGTTGCGGAACGAATGGCAATCCATGAGGAAGAGCCAACTGTCTTCTATCTCTGGCACGGGGACTCCGACCGCGAGGCCATGCAACACGCTGTCAAACTGGAGGTGTGGATTGATGCCGAGCGTGCTGCCAACAAGAATACTTCCTCCGAGGGCTTTCAGTCCGGCTACGCGTCGTGGCGTGATGTCTCCCAGCCCCTCGCCTGGTCAGCACATCATGTACGACGGAGCGCCAAACAGTGCAGCACTGTGGCAACATATGTAGATGATTGCGAGCAAAATGCTGGGAGACGCCGCCGTTCTCGCATCTGGGACGTCACCAGAATAGCTTTCAACAGCAAGGCCCCAGAGGTGGTTCGCAAATTCCTGGGCTGCACTTGCAACGTCCCTCGCCACATGATTCTTGAAAATGGTCGCACAAGAATCGCCATCATCTTGTCCCAGGCGGAATGCTGCCGGAAGATCGTCCGGGACTAAGAGGCGGTTGTCGGCTACAGCGCACGGCCCGTCACAACACCATCACAGCATACCACCCCTTCTCGGCCAAAAGATGTGGCGCCAGCAGAACCTGGAACCCGTCGCCGTATAATTAGTGGTGAGGCTTTTTACGCACCTCGTTAAACTAGGCTGGACTTTTCGTTCGCTATTGATCGTCTTGCTCGGTACGTAGACCAATGGTTCCGTTGGGCAAGGACAGAACTTGGCAATTCCGTCGGTTGCGTCCTCTTCAGCTCGGAATGCGGCCTCGTGATGCTCAGTTTTGACGACTCTTTGGGCGACATGGAGCTCCACGCCTGGAGTGACGCCCAAGAGCACCACGAGCTTTTACCTGGAGCTGACTGGCCCGAAGGGTTCCCAATGCCCGCTGTCCTGGGGGGCTGCCAGACAGGACGTTAAGTACGACCACCAGTTTGGGAGAGACGAAGCCGCGCGCGTGGAGCAAAACGGCGAAACAAAGCATCAAGCTGGCTGCCATGATCGAAAACACTCGTGCTGCCCCAATTGACGTCTGGAGCCACCTCGACAACCAAGCCGTGCAGTTCGCCATCCAGATGGGTCACAGCCCCAACCTTGGGCACCTCAAGAAACACGTGGAAGAGAGCTCGCTCTTCCTGAACCAGTGCGGGATACTCCCAGGCCCGACACCAGAGACCGAAAACATCGGCGATGCATTCGCAAAAGCGCTAGGCCACAGTAGGCTCATGTACTTCGTCGGTCGGTTGTTCGGTATTCATGTTGCCACGCTTCCCAATTGTCCAATAAAGGTCGGCATGCTATGGTTGGCTACGGCGGACGCCTCCTCCTCATCATCTTCGTCTGCAACATCTAGGGAGGTGTTCTCGGGCAGAAGGTAGTCGAGCGCACCGCCCAGACCGTGATGCTGGACAACGCGAATTACTTCGGGCACCTTGCTACTGTAGGAAAAGCGGTGCGAACCAGGCGCTGCAGTCCGAGCGCCGCGACGAGCTGTTGGATCTGCAGGGCCAGCAGCAGTGGAAAACCGACCGCCATCAAGACCGCATCCGGGCAGACTCGGCCGCCGCGGCCGCCAGAAGGGCAGATGACAGTCGCGCTGTTGCGCCACGGCTGACTGGATCCGCCCGGTGGCGTGCCGACGTGGTCGCAGGCAAGTGCCAAAAAGGGTCGCCAACCACAAGGGGCACGAGCGGAACCGTGTCAAGACGGACCCTCGCCTGGAGCTCGTCCCTGAGCGCCGCAAGATGCTGACCCGGAGCGGCCGGGTCGAGTCCTCAAGATCGTGATCGAAAACCACCCCTGGGACGACATGTTCCACGGTGACGGTCAACAACACCAGGGCAGCGGAGGCGGAGGTCGGCATCCAGCGCGAGTCCCGTTTCTCCCACCTGTGGGCGGAAGTCGGTCGCAGAGTCCCGGGCACCATCGCACTGATGGCAGAAAAAAACATTGGGCTGCGGACCCCCCGCGGCGACTACCTGGTGAAGGACATCCCGGACCTGGACGACGACATCTTAGAGATGAACCCATCCACCCCAGAGACTTGGGAGCTGCAGTACTTGCGGGGCCTCCGCAACGTCATCCGTAAGCCTCCCAACGAGGCGAAAAGGCCCGGATGCGGAGCAACCCGACAGCCAACCAGCGGGTTCTCAAGGACGCGCTCAAGCACGCCACGCCGAAGAGCAGAGCGGCGAACAGAAGGCATCTTTGTGCAACTTCAAAGGCTGCCGGCGCCTCACTGGCGGTTTGACCATCTGAGGTCATGAGTTTCCGAGTGAGAGCATCTGGACAAGGATACGAACATCCAGGGAAAGACTTCTCTCTCTGATAAAGCAGATATGTAATATGTAGCTGCTTCCTAACTTCCGGAATTTTAATATCTGTGTATATATATGTGTATATATATGTGTATATATATACATATAGATATATACATCGCGCTGTGCTGACACCTTTTGCAACTGATTATTCGTTTTAGCCCGGCCGGCAAGTTTTTCCTCTGCGGGAGCACATCATATTCCTCCCCCATCTGTTGTTACACCCAGTCCAGGGAAAACCACAGGGACAAATCTCCCTGCGTTGCCGCCACTGGCCCGCGGCGCGGCAAGGCGGTGTGCGGGAGGGATTGCCGCGCCCCGTGCGTGCTTCAAAGCAAAACCCCGCGCGCTCTCGCAGATGAAACCGAGGAGGGGCGGATGAGAAATGAGGGAGGAGGAAGAGGAAGGATGATGGACGAATGGGGGAACAACGGCAGCGGGGGGGGGGGGCGCCGCCCCCCGTTCCACAAGCGTTGTTGTTCCAATCTGCTCTTCGGGAACCGCCTTCGGATCTGTCCTGCCAGCTTTCTCGATCTATTCCTCTGACGCCGCCTCTGTTGACCGTTCCACCTTCCCACCTGGCGCTCCCCCCAGAGCGCGAAGAGTGCGATGGAGAAAAGGGCGCGAAATATTACAAAGGAGGCAGATAAGGACGGGGCGTCCACATCCTTCTACCACTTTCCCTCCGCCTTCTACGCCTCCTCCTCCTCCTCCTCCTACTACTTGTCCCCCTCCTCCTCCTCCCCATCCTCCTCCTCCTCCTGCTCCTCTGGCCCTATTCCTTTCGCGTTTTCCCTGTAACCGTGCCGCGTCCTCCCTTCGCCCATTTACCCTCTCCCTTGCCCCATCGCCCCCTTTACCTCGAGCTCGAAGTTCCACACCTCTTTTTCCCTCCCACGCATGCTGTTCCCATCCCCTCTCGCCCTCCTGCAGTCTGGTCCGCGCGCAAAGGATATTGTATCGAGATCCTCGCAGTCTGACGCTGCACGCCGCCAGGCTTCCAAGCTTGGACGCGTCGGCCACCGTCACTGTCGCTGTTGGCGTCGCTCGGGCCGGAAGCCCTGACGAAGGGCGGCGGCGGCAGTGGCACTTCCAAAACGCGCACAGAGTCCAACAAAGCATGAGGGTGGAACCCCGATTTGCCTGGTTGTTGTTCTTGGCGGGGGGAGGGCTGTGCTCAGGGCAAGCTGCATGGCCGTTCAACAATGCGCTGTCAACCAAACCCGCAGAGTGGGGCCTCGTTTTCTGTGGACTTCAGCCCTGGTTTCGGCTTCACCTGCGGGTGCGCCGTGGACGCCTTCGGGCCAGCTCTTCCGAGTTGGTTCTCCGCTCGCGTGGGTGCCTCCCTCACGCTTGTCGTATTTTGGTCTGCCTTGCAATCCCCGTCAATCTTGTCCCCCCTCCCTGCTGATGCTGTCCCCCCCCCACCCACCGTCCGTTTCAGAGGATATCGAGCTCCTCGCAATCTGGCAATGCACGGCGCCAGGCCTGGACGCGTTGGCAACCGCCCCTGTCGCGTTCGCCGTCACCCGAGTCGGTGGCCCTGACGAGAGGGCGGCAGCGGCGGCAGCGGCAGTGCCGAATTGCGCCCAGAGTCCAGCAGGCCATCACAGTGCAAAGTCGACTGGTCTGGCTGATGCTCTGGGGGGCGGCCAGCCTAGGGAAGCTTGCAGCAGCGTTTAACGATGTGCTGTCAACCAAACCCGCAGGGTAGGCCCTTTCAATTGTTCTGTGCGCTCAGCTTTGGCTTCGGCTTCACCTGTGGGTGCCACGTGAAACGCCTTCGGGCCAGCTCACCCGAATGGGTTATCCGCCAACATCGGTGCCTCCCTCCCTCCCCCTGCGCCACCGCCACCCCGTCCTCCCTGCCCCCCCCCTTGTCTTTGTTGTAGGTCTTTCTGCCAGCCTCTCTGTTTGCCTGTTTCATGTTTTTGTTTGTTCTCTCTCTTTCTCTCTCAATGTTGTTGTTTTCCCTCTCTCTCTTGTTCTCTCTCTCGCTCTCTTTCGTTCTCTCTCTCTCTCTCTCTCTTCTCTCTCTCTCTCTCTCGCTCTCGTCCTTCTCCTCACTGACCCCACCGTTCTCACTCTTCCCTAGCGCCATCCTCCTTCGTCCTCCTCCCCAGCGCCTTCTCATCTCCCTCCCCCCCGTTCCTGGCATGAGGGGGGGAGGATGTATCAATTGACGCGAAGGGGGGAGTCCCCCCTCATGCCAATTCATACATCCTCCCTCTCTGCCCCCCCGTCCTCCTCACCCCCTCCCCCCTCAGTATCCCCCTCCCCCTCTCCCATCTGCCCACTCGCTTATTTCTCCAACATACCTTCTCGCCCCCTCCCCCTCATCACCATCACCATCACCATCACCATCACCATCACCATCACGATCGCCATCGCCATCGCCATCACCATCACCACCGTCACCAGCACCTCCCCCACCACCGCCATCAGCGCTATCCCCAGCACCACCACCACCAGGAACACCAGCACCAGCACCATCATCACCGGCAACAGCACCAGGACCACCAGTACCAGCACCACGAGCACCAGCACCAGCACCACCAGCACCACCAGCACCACCAGCACCAGCAGCACCAGCAGCACCATCAGCACCGACACCACCGCCGCCACCACCACCCCCATCCCTCCCCCCACCCCCTCGGCGGCGGCAAACCTTCGAAGCTCCGCTCGGCCAGCGCCGGCGCGACGTCCTCGGCCTCACGGGCGGGCGCGGGCAGCCGGCCGCACGCGCGGGCAGCCAGGGCGCCCATTGGCAGGCCGCCTGCCTCCCGCCGCGTGAGCAGAGCTGATCAGCAGGGTCGCGCGCGAGGTCTGCGCCGAGGATGGGGAGGACTCCTCCTCCTCCTCCTCCCCCTCCTTCTCCTCCTGATCTTTCTCGTCCTCCTCCTCGTCTTCGGTCTCCCCTTTCACCTCCTTGTCGATTTCTCGGTCTCTCGTTCGCGGCGCCCTGGGGGCGCCCCGGCTGGGGAAATGCAGGACGGCCGCGCCTGGCAAGGGCACAGTCTGGAGTCTTGTATCCGCCAGCCGCTGCCAGGCACTCAGCGCCGCCCAGCACAGCGTACCGGCTCACAGCCTACGGCTCACAGGCGGCGCTCTCTTCTGTGCCGAGGAGGTCTAGAAACGCCGCCTGCCGCGCTGCAGAGACCTCAGCGTCGATAGATGTCCACAGCGGGCGTCGTAACTCCAAGGTGTGGCCGTACGCAGACAACGCGTGGGAGACTTCCCCGTCCGCACAAGGACGCGCACCCTCTCCGCCCAGCGCACATTGCCCAAAGCCGCAACAGACGGTGTCCTCCATCTTCGTCCAGCTGATCCTGCTGAGTGTGTTGCTTCAGGAAGCTAATCGACCGACTTGGGCGCTCGCTGGGTACGCAACACAAGTGTGTTGCTTCAAGCTTGGCATAAAGAAACTGCAAGAAGGCAGCTCCAGACAAATGAGCCTGCTTGTCGCCACATCCACCGATGGCTGGTCGCGAACGGCAAGCAATACAATATCTTGCCAACTCCGTCGTAAAATAGATTCGCGAGAAGCAGGCGCCGACCCGGCTGCAACCACAATGGTGTCAGGAAGGGGCTCCTTCGACATCCTGGCCACGATCTGGCCTGCCTCGCGCCACAAAGACGGCGCTAGCTACGCACAAACGGCATTCCGCATCGAGGTCCCTTGGGGGAGGAGGTCCCTCGGGGAGCATGGCGCGGGCCATGCTAACCTGTCGGATCATGAGCGTGCCCTGCCTCGGGTCCCATCGGCACTGGGGTCGAGAGAGGGCCCGGCTCGGCTCAGCCCAGGTCTGGGCCACCCTGGCCCAGTAAGCTTGCAGGCTGATCGCTGCTGAGGGGCAACGATAAGAGGGGGCTGCCATATGGGGGGAAAAACATCTACGTAGAATCAGCGATATATAGCCGATAGATCGGCGACCCCCGAAAACAAATCCACAAATTCCAGGGCAGGGTGGGGCTATCAGACCTTTGTCGGCGATCAATGCGCGATTTGGTGTCGATGCGTGCCCCCATGTGCCTATCACCCCACATCGTTGCCCCTGAACTTCTGTCCCTGCCTGACACCACCGCCAGCACGATTCGCATTAGTACCTGGGCAGCCAAGACGCTTACTGGCAAGCCAGCTGTCTCGGGGGCCCCGCGGGAGCTCATCAGCCACGGAACGCGCGCGTCGGCGTCGAGGGTGAGGAGGAGGTACTCCGCCTCCCTCCACGTCGCTTCGCCTCCCCAACCTTCCCCCCCTCAGAAAATATGGTACGAGCTTTTTTCCCTGCAGGAAAACAGCACTTGAACCAAGCACCAACGGCATAGGACAAATATGCAAAACGGCCCGCAGCGTACCGGACAGCCGAACATGATCACCCAATCGCACGGCTATGTTCAAACACCTCCCCTCGGCAAATTTCTGTCGAACGGAACGACGGGTTCATCACTGATTGACAGCGCGCTGAATACCTTGTGAAGTAGAAGCTGTAAGACGCACTGCGGCGAATCTAGGTGAGCACTTTGTGGCATTAGGGCGCAGGCGAGAATAGACGACTATAGTTTGGGCGTGGACGTGCAGAGGCCTCCTAACATGCGATGCACGACTTTAAGGTGTCGCAGTACATCAGGCTATGCAGAGTGAACAAACATGTCCAGGGTGTGTAAACGAGCGCCGGGATATCAACTGATCCTGAACTCAAGTCTACCAGTCAAATGGCGCGCGGCGGGCATGTCGGCAAGGGATATCCTAACACTCCGTAGCAATTGCCAGCTCGAGTCTTCCACTAGCGATCTGTTGACTTGTACCGCATGCGCATTGACATGTCACCCCTGCTGTTTCCCTACGCGCATGTTTTGTCAACGCACTTGCAATATGCTCATGTGTTCTTGTCTCCTCGGCTCACCTTCTCTTGCAGCCAAAGCTGACATACCTCGAGATGCCTGTCTGTTCCTAGACCCCGCCGGCGCGCGATGGCAATTGCCGCGCGGGCATCGCTCTCCAAAGCGATGCCGCAATCAACGTTGCAATATTTGAGAACTGTTTGTAGTCCTTACGCTACGAATCAGACGATTACCATTCCATCATATTCCGCTTCTTCAGAAGAGAACGCAACTGCGCTCTGTGCCGAAGCCCACGATTTTATCACATGTAATCCCTGCATAACTTCTGGACGCCCGAGATCGGTACGGAGAAAATGGGTACGATGCCCAACAACAGATGTTGTCCCAAACCATCAGCGGCCGCTGTTGGGCAGGCGGCCTTCTGTCTCGAATGGACACAGGCCGCGGCGGCGTGGACAGCGAATCCTGTTCAGAATGAACAAGAACTGCTGTTGGGCATTGTGCCCATTCTTTCCGTGCCCATTTCGGGCGCCCGGATAACTGTCCCGCCGCTCGTTGACTTACGCGCCCTCTTACATCCGGCGCAAATCAGTGCCAGCCCACGCCGTTCAATCCTGAGGGTGGCCGTGGTACAAGCACTGATATCCTCACCTGCTGTGGTTCTTACAGTACTGGCACACCTTCGCGAGTCTCTTCCAAACCCGTCGGTTCGGAGCTGGCATGGAGCGTGCAAGCTCCATGACTGACTACTGCATGTCTGATCGGTCATGTGCGAAATCGTTGGCTCGAGCCACTGATGTCTGGCATTTCTGAATTTCGCGTTTTTTTTGTTGGCGTTCGTCCTATTCCACGCAAGGCTGCAAATATGCTGGCATCCCACATCTCACTTTGTCCTGGTCCGAGCCTTCATTCTCGGACGCATCTGCCAGCGTGCCTGTGATCCGCCTCGCGCCATAAACCATCCCCGCCCCCGCGTCGGGGTCCGCCCCAGATTTTTTAATGCGATTGTCTGTCTGGGTTCTCCTTCGAAACAGTCAAAACTCAAGCGGTTTCCCAGCGAAGTCAAGCCGTCTCCACAAATTCTTAACCGCGTTCGCCGCGTCACGTGAGAACACGCACGCGGCGATGCTTTCCCGTCGCCAGAGCCAATCCCCGCGCGCAAAGTCCATGAAATAATTGCCAGCGAAGCCCCGAGCGCCGCACATTTATTCTGATCGTCTTGCACGCGCGACTGGCGCGCGACTGTCTTCGGGCAACCTGGTGAAGATGTTCTTCTTGGCCCGGCATGAAAGCGTACCCGTTGAACATTTATAAACCCCAGTTTGAATCATTTCTCACGGCCCCCATCGGTCATATCTGGCCCCCCCAGCAACTGCCATTGAAAATGGGTTGCAGAGCTTCCAATGGAGCGGCGGCGGCGAATTTGTTCTGTTCTCTGGAATGTTACTTGGCTCGCTGGGCCACGAGCCCCCATCTGTGCTCTGGATGGCCTCGTAGCCCTTGTCGATATCAATCCACCTCGCATCGTGGGGGCCCTGCTGGCTACGGCCCAACATTCATTATCCATCATTTTTTCTTCGACCTTGTGCCCCTGAGCTGCTCCATCTCCTCCTCCCGAGCTTCGAGCGCGAGTCCCGGATCAAGCTCGCCCCCCGACGCATCGCCCCAATCGTGCGTTTGGTCATCTTCGCGATGAACTACACGTGCGTCACGTCTCGTAACGGGCCGCGCCTCATCAGTGCCCCCGCATGCCCCGCGCGCCCTCGGAGTGTGCAACCGCCCCCGGTGTCGGCGCACTCCGCAGATCCACTGGTAAAGTTGGATGTCGTGGGCAACGCGGTAGGTGATTTCAGCGGCTGCGTTGCGCTATCCCCTCCTGAATTCTCTCCTCCGCCCGTCTTCTCCAATCGATCCGACCTTCCTCTCCTCGAGTGCACGACTGGTGTCCATGTCTCAAGTAGCTCTGCGAAGGCATGCACTCAACCATTATTTCCAATGCAACGGAAACTTGAAGCGTTGACCCCAATACTCGCACGCTTGCCCCATTGATTCCGGCCAAAGCCATTTCGATTTGAAGGCCGCTAGTCTGCTGAGGGCTGCGCACCAGGGACAACATTAACAGTGAGGTTCCTTAACTCTCGATTATTTGTTCGCCGTTGCCCGCATCGCCTCGCGATTGACTTCCCGCGGGCTCCCATGCGAATCGCAAGTCGTAGGGTCCATAATGCTGCTCTTCTGATGTCATGCGCCCGTTTACTGACGCCCAAGCAAGTTGGTTCCACGTAGCCACCCAGCCGCATCCGCATGAAAGCCTATCATGTTTGACTCGTTGCGTACCTCCTCAGTGTTGAAGTTGTCCTGTTCTTCACTCTCCAACTCCGGTCCCTTTTCTTCAATCCTCTCTGTCGCCGGGCCCCTCGCCACCTCCGGCAACTGGGCCCCCTCGGTGCGCCTCCTCGTCCTCATCTTTTCTTTTCTGACTTCTCTGACCCTCTCCTCGCCTCCGCGGCCCTCTGCCTTTCTCGCTGCTGCCGCTGACCGCGGGGAGTAACGTTGGCCGGGCGTTCGTCATCGTCGCCGCCGCAAATGACCTGAAACCCAAGCCATCCCGCCCAAGGGCCTCGCGAACAATTTTCGCCCGCATCTTACACTTGTGAATCATGTCCTCCATGCCACCCGTTTCTTGATAACTTACATGCGTTCGCCTCCCATTCCTCGGCCCGTTCAGAGCTTTGACCCATATGTCCTTTGGCGCCTTCATTATTGTTCTGCGTTCGCACATCCATTATTGTTCTGTGTTCGCGGTATTGTCTGATTACCAACCCGTCTTTGATTGCCCCGTTGTCCATCCTAGCTGTCTTGCCTAGCG